CTCTTGAGAAGGCCAGATCCTGAAGTTGAAACTCAAGTACTTTGGCCACCTAATGAGAAGGAAGGACTGCCTGGAGAAGAGCCTGATGCTGGGAAAGATCGAGGGCAAGAGAAGAAGGGGACGACAGAGAAGGAGGTGGCTGGATGGAGTCACTGAAGCAGTAGAAGTGAGCTTAAATGTACTCCAGAAGATGGTAGAGGACAGGAAGGCCTGGAGGAACCTTGTCCATGGGGTCGCGATGGGTCGGACACGACTTCGCAACTAACAACAAAAAATATCCCAAGCCACCACCTTCATTCATGAGCAGCCATTGTGGACATCCAATGTGTCATCAGATGCTTATAACGAGGCTTCTAAAAAGTGGATCAGAATGTAATCCTGTTCTTGGATTGAAATCTCTCCATATTTGCCAGGAAAGCAAAAACGATGATCATTGTAACCCTCGATGCGTTGCCCTATTAGCAGCAAAAACCCGATAATGCTCAAATTACATTATTGGTTGAATCACAGATACTGAACAACAGAAGTAAATACTACAAGATCAAAACGTTTACTTATATTGCTTTATAATTAGGTCAACGTCTACAAAAATCCCGCCAGAATGCTCCATTAGCAAATGGATTATCTGAAGTCGGATCGACAAATTGCTTTCAAGTTCCTCCTCCCGACCTTGAGTTGAGTTAAATAAAAATGTAAGGAGCACGATGGAAGTGCCACCTAAGACCAAAGCCTTGTAGCATCGGGAATTCTTTCGCAGTTCCACTGTTTGCAACATTTGGGCGCTACAGAAAACATCTGGGACATTTAAGCCTAAGAACAATCTACAAAAGCACGTGTGATGTACCACTTCTCCACTACCTTCAATTGACTAGTGCTTTTCTTCTTACTTCGTGCCACGTTTGTGGCTGTTCTAGCCATAAACAACAGAGCAGGCACCACTAGGGGCTGTAGCATCCGCTGTGTAACCTTTGCTGAGGTTATCAGTTTTGTTGCTAAAGACTGGTTCTTAACAACCTCAGACGTTGAGTAGTTTGCAACCATCCTATCCATTCACTGAGGTGTCTCAGTGACAGTCGTTCCACCAGGTCCCAGAAGATCTACCAAAGATCTCTTTCGTAGTCTCGACCTTTTTCGTGTGGGATTTTTCAGGTTTTCCACATGATAAACACGGCTACTTCATTCATCGCAGTTGTTATGGTTCCGGCTAATGAAACACTTCAAAGAACTTCCAGGAATTTATTTTCCTAAAAGTCTTTTATTGTTGCAAAATGTCGGCACAGGCATAACGGAGGAATGCTAAGATCTAAATTCTCTTCCTTTGAGCAGTTAAATTATCAGCATGTTCCCTCCCTAAATTAGCTGTCATATATCACATTATCCAATTAGTGTGAAGGTCAAATATCAAGGTCAAAAGACTAAGTTCCAGCTATCGAAATTTGGCCCAAAGATGCTTTTATTTTTTCAAGGAGGCAACTGGGGATTTCTTTGTTTCTCCTTGAAGCCGTTTCGCTTCTCATCCAGGAAGCTTCTTCAGTTCTGAACTGAAGCAGAACCAAAGAAGCTTCTTGGATGAGAAGTAAAAAGTCTTCAAGGAAAAGATGTTCTGGGGGGGGGGAAGTACCTGTGGAACACCCCTGACTTGGATAACTGAGAATCTCCTTAGACACGTTGAAATCTGACTTCTCTTTGTCTGAAAACCTAGCGTGCCTTTCTACAAAACGGAATTAGACAGATGTACAGTCACTTAAATATGTACACTTATGTCTAGTTTAACCAAGAGAAGGACCAGGAGGGACATGATAGCAGTGCTCCCATATCTCAGGGGCTGCCCCAAAAAAGAGGGAGTCAAGCTATTCTCCAAAGCGCCTGAAGGCAGGACAAGAAGCAACGGATGGAAACTCATCAAGGAGAGAAGCAACCTAGAACTAAGGAGAAACTTCCTGACAATTAGAACAATTAATCAGTGGAACAACCTGCCTCCAGAAGTGGTGAATGTTCCAACACTGGAAGTTTTTAAGAAGAAACTGGACAGCCATTTGTCCGAAATGGTGTAGGGTTTCCTGCCTGAGCAGGGGGTTGGACTAGATGACCTCCAAGGTCCCTTCCAACTTTATTATTATTATGGATCATCGCACAGTCAGCCAGATGTTCAGACTGGATTTGGCATTTTGTCTACCTATCGAGTCCTTACCCAGGACCTGGGATAGGCAGATGTGGATGTTTGATGGTATTACAGATATCGTCACAAGATGGAAGCATTTCCTAGTAAGGCCGCCTTTTGCAATTGACTAATAGCGAATTTGTCAATGCCAATGGTGTTCAAGTGGTGCTCCAGTTGTTTTGGGATTGTGCCCAAGGAGCCTATGACTATTGGTACTACTCTTGCTTGCTTTTGCCCCAGTCTTTCTATTTCTATTTGTAGGTCTTTGTATTTTGTTATCTTCTCCAGTTCTTTCTCGTCTATTCTGCTGTCTCCAGGCACTGCCACGTCCACTATCCAAACTTTTTTGTCTTTCTTATCGACAACTGTTAAGTCTAGGGTGTTGTTGTTGTTATTACTGTTATTAGTAAGATGCTCTCATCCTACTGTCCCTTCCTAGTCAACATTTCAAGAGTGGGTTTGAGAAACAAGAGTGTGTCCCCAATCTCTTTTGCTATCTCTGGCCTCTATTATCGAAGAGACTCTTTTAAGAGGCATCCTTCTTCCTGTTCTCAAGCCATCACACTTTCTCCTTCAAGGCAAATTGCATTATACGTCGGCGAATTTTGTTTTGTATGAAATCAAATCGAGTCCCATAAATGCAGATGGCTGCAAGGCAGTTTAAAACCTGCTGGATATAAAAGTATGTGCTCTCTCTTAATGACTAAAAATAGTTATGTTTACTGGTGTACAAGGATTTTCATTTTATAAGGGTATTTCTCCCCCCAGCTTCAAAATGCGACAAGGAAGCATGTTTTCATGCACAGTGAGATGGCTGAAGAACAAAAATCTTTTTTTTCCTTAACCAGGAAAATGTTAAAAATAATAATAATAGTGCATTGAAGGAACATAGCTTATTGTTGATACATTCAAGGGGGAGGTTTTGAAATGCTTATTGCCAAAATCAGCGCAAATATAGCCAAGAAAACAAATGTAGAAATGGTGGACACAAGTGGCAGACTTACTTTTGTCTTGTTTTTAATCTGTTAAGTAGAGAAATCACGCCCTTCATTTGCTAGGTGTTACGTAGCAAAAAGCTCAGAAAAGCAAAAGAATGCAAGAGCACCACATGCACACATGAAAAATGGATAGTAACATAAAAATAAAGATTGTTGTTGTTAGTTGCGAAGTCATGTCCGACCCATTGCAACCCCATGGACAACGTTCCTCCAGGCCTTTCTGTCCTCTACCATCTTCTGGAGTCCATTGAAGCTCACGCCTACTGCTTCAGTGACTCCATCCAGCCACCTCATTCTCTGTCGTCCCATTCTTCTCTTGCCCTCCATCTTTCCCAGCATTAGGTTCTTCTCCAGTGAGTCCTTCCTTCTCATTAGGTGGCCAAAGTATTTGAGTTTCAACTTCAGGATCTGGCCTTCTAAAGAGCAGTCGGGGTTGATCTCCTCCAGGACTGACCGGTTTGATTGCCTTGCGGTCCAGGGGACTCGCAGGAGTCTTCTCCAGCACCAGAGTTCAAAGGCCTTGATTGTTTGGTGCTCAGCTTTTTTTATGGTCCAACTTTCACAGCAACATTGCATACATTGCAACTGGGAAAACCATGGCCTTGACTGTAGGTACTTTTGTTGGCAGGGTGATGTCTCTGCTTTTTAGTATGCTGTCTAGATTTGCCATAGCTTTCCTCCCCAGGAGCAAGCATCTTTTAATTTCTTGGCTGCAGTCCCGATCTGCGGTGATCTTGGAGCCCAGGAAGATAAAATCTGTCACTACCTTCTAACAAAGCATAAAAAAAATAAAAAAATTGTATTTACTGTTTAAAATGGAGCAAGGAAGGAACACATATTACCCAGTTCCACAATTGGATCAGGCTAATAAAAAGTTTCTCCCCAGTATATAATCTGTTTAGACGAGTGGAATATTCTCTTGAGTTCTGACAGTAGCTCTGAAATTTTAGCCAGAATCATTTGGATTCAGATAAGCTGGGTAAAGTACCTTTGGGGCACAAGAGAGGAACTATCCAGCATTTTGACGTGGACTTAGACTAAACTTAAAATTCACAACCTGGTTAGGAAACTAAACTAAGCTAAAATTCACAACCTGGTTCCCTGCAGATGTTCTGGATCCAAAGTCCTGTAAGCTTCAGTCACCACAGAAAATGATTAGAGATGTGGGCTTCATAATGCTCGTAAAGCAGCCAGCTGAAGAGATCGTAGATCCGATCAACTTTAAGACTTATTTAGTTTTTCAATAATTTATATATAAATTTTAATATCTTATAGATTGTATCTTTTCTTCTTCTTCCTCCTTTTATTTTTTATTTTTATTTTACTTTTTTATATTTCTTTTTTTTATTCTTTTTCTAAGCATTTTTTTATTTCTAATATTTATGCTTTTGTTCTTTTTTATACATATATTATTGTTAATCATCTTATAAGTTGTTTAAGTAATGTATTTAGACTTATTTATGGTTTATATTTCTTTTTAAGACTTTATGAAATTTTAATTAAGCCTATATTCAGCTCTGGGAAGGTTGGGGGAGGGAGTGGGAGGGTTGGGGTGGGTTGGGCAGGGTTGCTTCTGTAAAAATTTTAAAAATTTTCAATTAAAAAAAAAAAAAGACTCGTGGACTTCCAATTCACAGAATTCATGGCTGGCTGGGGACTCCTAAGAGTTGAAGTCCACAAGCCATAGGTCAGGTCGAGCTGCTGTAGACCGTTGGCCCACGATCCGGAGGGGGAAACCAGAACCTAGAAAAGTCACAGCAGGGATTATCTTTAAATGGGCTTCGTTTTGCTTGGCTTAATTACTTGCCAATCGTTGTCTTTCTCTTTTTTGTTTCCTGCAGATTGTTTGAGGGGCGGTCTCCGAGAAAGCCTGAGAAACTGAAAACTCTTTTCTGCTACTTCCGAAGAGTCACGGAAAAAAGTAAACTTGTCAATCTCCTAGTCTTTTTTCTGCCCCCCCCCCCCCCGGGAATAAGCCTTTAACTTAGAGGTCTTTAATTTAAGCCTTTAACTTAGATTAGAGGTCTGGAGGCTAAAGCATATAAGGAACGGTTGCTGGAATTGGGTATGTCTAGTTTAATGAAGAGAAGGACGAGGGGGGACAGGATAGCAGTGTTCCAGTATCTCAGGGGCTGCGCCAAAGAAGAGGGAGTCAAGCTATTCTCCAAAACGCCAAAAGGCAGGACAAGAAGCAACGGATGGAAACTCATCAAGGAGAGAAGCAACCTAGAACTAAGGAGAAACTTCCAGACAGTGAGAACAATTAACCAGTGGAACAACCTGCCTCCAGAATCGGTGAATCCTCCAACACTGGAAGTTTTTATGAAGAGACTGGACAGCCATTTGTCCGAAATGGTGTAGGGTTTCCTGCCTGAGCGGAGGGTTGGACTAGATGATCTCCAAGGTCCCTTCCAACTCTTTGTTATTTTGTTCTGTTCTGCTTTTAGAAGGCGATAACTTTATTTGGGTGGCCTTAGCTCATCACAGAATAGTCGTTTTGTAGTGAAACAAGATTAATGCAAATATTGCTGGGGGGGAGGGGGGAAACGGAACAAGACTTCCGACAAACGTCTTGAATCCCTGGCAGCTTCTAATAGATTAATAAGACTCTTTAAATATTTTCCGTAGAGAATTTGCCAGGGATATTGCGTTCTGCTCCCTTCATGTATTCATTTAGCAAACCCGCCAGCCGAATCATTGCAAAACACAAGAGAGGAGGCATTTCCATAAGAACAAAGTAAACTAAACTAAAATAAAAGTTGTTCCCTCCTGGACATGCTTATCCAGAAAACGTCCCCTATCCAGCTCTCATTTCTCTGAGATGCGTAGGTAGAATGGCAGCCTTAATTATTAGTAAGCATCCAAATTTATCTACTTCGTTGTCTACTTTGTTTTTAATGTTTAAACTTTTAGTGCTTAACGTTTTCATGTCTTTTTTTAACCTTCTAATGGAATCATGCTCCTGTTTATGACATCGCAAGCCGCCCAGAGTCACTTGATAGTGTGATGGGCAGCATATAAATTCAATAAATAAATAGTGACTGCACAGAAGGAGACCCTTTGCCGAAGGAAATGAATTCTTTCTAGCTGTCAAACTTCCTTCTCTTTCCCCCCAAATGTCTTATATTTCCGGCTTAGAAGCATAGGCTTTTCTGACTTGTGTCCCGTAAGATTTTTTTTTAAAAAAAACTTACTAATATTTTCTCTGTTTTGGTCTGTTTTGCTTATAAGAACCCACTGGACTTGTGACGTTTACCAGACAGTGTCTGCAGGAATTTCCAGAGTGGGAAAGGTAAGTCAAACCAAATCTATCCCCCTCCCCTTTTTATTTATATTCATTTAAATTCATTACAGTGAAAACTCAGCCAAGAATAAGATTGTTGTTCCGTTCAACATGCAAATGGAAACAGAGAGAATGCATTTCAACACATAGCAGTGGCCACTGTCACAAATTAAAACTAACATCTTGGTAAGCAAAGTAGCAACATTTTGAAACCTGAGTTGTTTACCTTAAAGAGCCTTTTATTCGAGTAGCATAATATCGGCACTTACATATTCGAAGCCCAAAACTGAATCTCTCCCCCCCCCCATCCTTGGGCACATAGTATCAAAGAACAATTCCCTCCTCCAATTCACGGTCATAAATCACATTCCCCAATTAGCTTGAAGCCCGGGCTTCCTCTCCAGCTCTCCAACCCGCCAATTCTTTTATCACCTCTTGATTTCAACAACCTTGATTCTCACACTAGGCTCAGTGTTGTTATGTCTCTAGCTGGACTCCTGTTCACATCCCCCCCTCCTCCCAGCATCAGCTAACTCTAAAAGCGAAAGGAAGAAAATGGCCACATTTCCATCTGTTGTTCAATGCAGAAACATCCGATGTTAGCGGCGTTGACACCTGTACGGAGTTTCCTGCTGTTTTTGAACTTTCATCAAAAGAGGTGGCAACTGCTTTATTAATGGATGCAGAGCATATTAAAATGAGGACTTTCCCCCCCCCCTCAAAAAAACCAACAACCCACAATCGTGTTGCTTTGGTATGCTTCTTTTTTACAGATCTCAGAAAAAAATGCCCAGGTTGCATGTCACCTATGAAGGGACGATTGAGAGCAACGGGCAAGGGATGCTCCAGGTAAGCGTAGAATCCACACCTCTACCCATCAGCTCTGTGCTGGGTTGCGTCAAAGCTATCACACATCCCATCGCAACATTAGCATTCTCTATTGGTTCAGCTTCCCGTCTTGAAAAAGCCTTTTGATTGACAGTCAGAAGACCTGGATGGAGCTTGTTTTTGTTTTGTTTTGTTTTTTTGCAGGTCAGGTGAAGACTGACAAGCGTTAGAGAAAGGGGGTCCAGAATAGGGGATTGACAGGCTGCCCGTTTTCCAATTTTTCCCCTTTTCAAACAAAATAAAAATAAATAAAAATTGAGAGCGGCATTGCTGTGCCCTGTCTGGTGACCAGCTCAGCAAGTTCATCTGCTACGAGAGGAATAATTTTGACCTGAAAACCAATCAGCCAGAACAGTTTGATAAGGAGTCTTGTCTCGTCCGTAATCCTGAGGCATTGTTTGCATATTTGCAAGCCAGAGAGAGAAGAATTTTGACGTGCGTGAAGTACTCTGAGCTACACCTGTTGTTGTCTTCTACCTCAAACCCAAATAAATAAGTGTATCCTTTTATTTTCCTTAAACAGTTGAGCATGATCATCCTATTCAGAGCAAAGTGAGTGAGTGGTGAAGATGCTGAACTGTTGTTGTTGTTGTTAATTGTGAAGTCGTGTCCGACCCATCGCAACCCCATGGACAACGTTCCTCCAGGCCTTCCTGTCCTCTACCATCTTCTGGAGTCCATTTAAGCTCAGGCCTTCTGCTTCAGTGACTCCATCCAGCCACCTCATTCTCTGTCATCCCCTTCTTCTATTGCTCTCGATCTTTCCCAGCGTTAGCCCCTTCTCCAGTGAGTCCTTCCTTCTCATTAGGTGGCCAAAGTATTTGAGTTTCAACTTCAGGATCTGGCCTTCTAAAGGGCAGTCGGGGTTGATCTCCTCTAGGACTGACCGGTTTGATCGCCTTGCAGTCCAGGGGACTCGCAGGAGTCTTCTCCAGCCCCAGAGTTCAAAGGCCTCCATTCTTTGGCGCTCAGCCTTTCTCATGGTCCAACATTCACAGCCAAACATTGCAACTGGGAAAACCATGGCCTGGACTATACGCACTTTTGTTGGCAGGGTGATGTCTCTACTTTTTAGTATGCTGTCTAGATTTGCCATAGCTTTCCTCCCCAGGAGCAAATGCTGAACTAAGACTGGATAAATCGAGGTTCAACCCTAAAAACTCACTACAGACCAGCCACTTTCTCTATCTTGATGTATACCATCGTTTCTCAACCGTGGCAACTTAAAAATATGCGGACTTCTGAATTCTGGGATCTGAAGTTCACACATGTCAGAGATGCCAAGACTGAGGAACATCGGCCTAAGCAAGCCTCATGGGATTATTGTTATGGGGATAACGTAGGAGCTTTTTCACGACAAACATCTTGAATCCTGAGAAAAAGGCAGGCTGTAAATGTTAAGTCATGAACAACAAACACACCAGTTAAATAAACTTTGGATAAAGTTCAAAATTCTCCATCTGTAAAAGCACCACCGAGAGTTCTGTTTTGTTTCTTTCTCAAGAGACAACAGTTGTGTGATTAAGAAGATGGCGCATCACACATTCCGGAGTCAAGTAACTGAAATGAATTGCTTAGAAGAGCAAGGACATTTGTCTCATATGCAGCCTCGTGAAAATCCACTCGTTTCTCCAAACTGGAGAAATATGCGTAAACGTATTGTTAATATAGTGCCAGAAACTAGTTTTTAGAGGCCACTTAACTAAATTGCTTCAGTGGCACATGATCATAAATTTGATTAAGAGCGTCTCAGAAAAGGGCCAGCCTTTTGTGCTCAAAACAACATTTTTTTTAATGGGTTTTAAGTTTGATTAGCGTCTTTGGATATCGCTACAGTGTACAAAATAAATGTAGTTAATCAGTAGTACGTGTCCTTGCTGTTGATGGCTATGCTGTTCAGGAATGGCTGCAGGGAGGAGGGAAGATCTTTAAAGGTCTTCATGGCATGGATCCAGGCTACATGAGGGACCGTCTCGCCCCGCTGGGATTGGCCCGTGCCAATTTGCCAACAGAGGAGGCATGCTGCAGATCCCGTCAACCCAAGTATTCCGGTTGGCGGGATCCAGGAGGAAGGCCTTCCCTGCTGTTGCTTCTGCCCTCTGGAACTCCCCCACCCCCATGAGAGATTGGCCCCAACCCTCCCATCTTTTCATAAGGGCCTAAAGACATCACTGTGGCAGTCAGCTTGGGTATCCAGTGGGGGAACAGCACAATGGAGGGTGGTTGATTGAGTAATAACAGATCCCATCCTATGGTAAGATGGGTGGCCAGTAAATTGTATTTATTTATCTATCTATCCATCCACCCATCAAATCAAATCTTTGGAGCAGGATGCTGTTACAACATTTTGCAGTTTCCTGCTTTGGGCTCCTTCAGCTGTTTGTTTTTCATGCCATAAGTCTCTTAAGGTTGGAAAAGTACTAACTGCAGGGTCCATTTTCCAATTGAGCCCAGAAAACTGTCTGTATGTGGTTTTTTTTTGTTGTTGCTTTAAATATAAGACAATTTTCTAGTAATGTATATATTTCTTTTAATTTAAATATGCATTAACATCAACATAGTTTTTGATCGTGTTGCTTGTTAATCGTGAAGCATTCAAGAACTGTAGCCCTCGGACCAGGAATGAAAAATATGTCCAGATGCATTGTTGTACTTTATAAATTTACTTTTGACTACAATCCAGGACATTTCCACCTGAGGGCTGTGATTGTCAGTCCTGTTTCAGCTTGCCGGCTTTCTGATCCTGAATAAACAAAGCAAATTGCCTTGCTAGGGCATACTGTAGTTAGACTAAATATTTAAAAGATGATATTGGTTTTTAATTGTTTGGTATTTTGGTTTTACACGTTCGGTATTTTGAGCAATGCTTCAGAGGCCAGCTTTTGCACCATTTGTATCGTAGCCTTTGGCATTTTTAAGCATGTTTGCGTAGCTCAAAAGCACACTTTAAGAAACTCAGAATGAACGTTAAGATAGCCTTGTCCAATGAACAGAATCAAGTCAAGTTGCTTAAATTTGTGTGATCAGAATCTACTACACAACTGTCCACCATGAGAGATGGCATTCCTATTCGTTTTGGGCTTTATTGAAGCCAAATATTCAGAATGTAATGTTCAACGTATCTTGTCAGGTTGACTTTGCCAACCGCTTTGTCGGAGGGGGCGTCACTGGCGCAGGATTGGTGCAAGAAGAGATCCGGTTCTTAATCAATCCAGAATTGATTGTCTCTCGTCTCGTTACGGAAGTCCTGGATCACAACGAGTGTCTGATCATCACGGGTGAGTAACTGCCTTGACATTAATTCCTGTGGATTCCAAAACTCAACTCTGATTCACAAGAGCACTGGTAAACAAAGAGTGAATCAAGATTGACTCTGCTGTAGAATCGAGATGATACAACAAGATCTGGAATAGTCTTTATTGGAGGGGTCCTTGGTGCTTTCTGAGCTTTCTTGAAGATGTGTCATTACCCAACTAGGTAACACCATCAGTGCTAGTCTAGTTTATGCAAGAAAACAGCCGAGCTCAGAGGGCACCAACAACCTCTCATTTGAACCCTGAGCTGCAAAATATTAGTCTTTGTTGTGATGCAAAGAATAAAGGCCCTCACCTGTTATTTTTCCTGTTCTACTCTTCCTTAGTCATATTTTTCATAGTTAACCAGCTTTTCCTTTCCGCAAATCAGAGAAACATTTAAAAAGAGCAGTTATCTAGATTTACAGTTCACCTTGAGGATGTTGATGCTATTATTTCCCTTATTTTTTTTCTCCATCTTTAGTTTGAGTCTTGAGGGCGTTCTTGGTCATTCATAGAATTTCTGGTCCTTCTGTAAATGGGTTCTTGGGAACGCTTCTTTAAGACCGTCCAGTCAGTTCATGAGTCCTAGAAGAGAAATTATCTAATGATTGGACAAAAATTGATAGCTTATCCTGAATGATGACAGAAATGGATGGTTTCTCTGTTTAGAAGAACAAAATTCTGCAATGTTTAAGCGGGGCCATTGCTGTTGTCAATGCTCCTAACATCGACCACATATGGAGATGCAGCCTTCTTTTTTCTTATGCTTTACTCTTAGAATTAGATAATACTGGGGGAGGGGGAGGAATGTGATGGGATTTAGTTAGACATAACAATATTGTAATAGTGTGTGAACTCAGGGCTTTTGAAATAAGAGATGATAAGGAATGGCGGGAGGAGTAATGGAGGGAAAGTCTGCATTTCAAACTAATTGGAGAATGTGATTTATAACTGTAAATTAGAGGAGGGAATTGTGCTTTGATACTATGTGCTCAGGGGAGGGGAATTCAGATTTTGGCTTCAACTCTGTTAGTGCCAAAGCTATGCTACTCCAATGAAGATTCTTTAAGGTAAGCAATGCCTCGAAGTTCTTTGAAGAGTTTCATCTGTCGGAACCATGACATCTGTAGTATTTTGCAGCTTTTAGCCTCTGATGCGTATGGCGATTTAATTTTGAGGGTCGATTTACAAAATGGAATGTCATTTCCCCTGGTTTGGTAAGGCCCTGTGGTTTTTAATAGAGTATATCACAGGGATTTTTTTCCCCTATGCGAACGATTGAATAATATGACAATCTTTCAAAACACTCTAACACTTACTTTAAGTGGATTTGTGGCTCTGAGGTTTTTGCAAGAAATTGGCAGAAAGATTCAGGAACAGCTAAATAACTCTCCTAGAGATGTTTTGGTTTGATCGGAAAATAAATTCCATTTTTAAAGAGCAACAGTGCTAGAGGTTGCAAATTAGTTTGAAGAAGTAAACAGAAAATGGAAAACAGAGGTGAGAAATGAACCAGTGGTTGCTCTTACATTGATTTGAAAATACTGTTAATAGGGAGAGGGGTAAGATAAATGAACCAATTGCCCTTAGATTGGTTTAAAATGTTGCTTAAACGTAAGTAAAATTGATAAGCTTTACAGGATCCAAACGACAATGGCTGTGTGAGTGAGAGTATCTTATAATTACAATTTTCATCATTAATCTGTATGAAAATTTTCCCAATGGGAGGTGAAATTAATTTTAGCTGAGGTAACTAACCCAAGGAACAACTACCAGAGAATAGTGTTGCGATCTTTATGAGTTGTTTACTAAATGTCAGCATTGTTTGCATATTAAGACCTGATGATCCTGCAAAGCTTGGTGGAAAGAGATTAAAAAAATTCTTATGGGTAAATCAAACCATTTCTGGATCTTGCATCCAAAACATGAAGCTTCTACATCTAAGATGCAAATCAAAGTAAAATGCTTTTTCAAAGTCATTAGTTCTCCTGGTGCTTTCTAATTAATATCTGTGATGCAGTCTCCTTCTTTCTTAATGGAAAACGCCATTTCATCATCTTCAATAGATCTTTGGCTGGCTTCCACCTCTCTGCTTAAGCCATTTTTTTGCTGTGTGCAGCTATCTGTCTGATAGATTTCATTTTTTTTTTTTTTCAATGATGCATCTTGACTCAGTGACTTAATGGATAGGGCCGTGCTGCTGAAATTTGCAGAAGAGACTGAGAAATTGCAAATAAATTAGATTTGATGCAATTGACCAGCATCTGCTTGAGATCATCCCACTAACAGATATGAGGTCAGTCATGCAGAAAACACAGATAGATACCTTTCCTAACCCACAAATGAATCAAAAGAATCTTAACGATCAAATAATTGTACTCTCAGATGTTTTATTTTTTGGCTTTGATAGCTGCAGACGGAATGTGAAAATCAATAAATCCGAGTGCTTCGTTTATGTAACTCTAACACTGAAAATTAATACAATATGAACCTTTTATGAATATGATGGATTTCCAGTGGGTGTTTTTCCTATGTAGAATCAGCCTGTGAGCTGGCTATGACAGTTGGGAAGAGTGGGAAAATGTTGTTCTACTTTCAAAAGCCAATAGAATAAAAGGGAGTAGCACAGCTAAGGAAAAGGGGAAAAAATGGCGGACTGCGTTGTTTGGCGACCCCCATGAAATGGTCGTTTGACCCCAAATGGGGTCCCGACCCACAGGTTGAGAACCATTGATTTAGAATATACTACATTTCCTGGGGAGAGAGGACGGATCTTTTTCCCTTTGAATTGATCTTTCTAGTCTTCTGTGCTTCCGTTTTTTTTAGTATCCCTTCCAGGTTACATTTGAGTTAATAATTCTTCTCCTTCCTCCACACTGCTAGCCTCGAACACAGAGAAAAGCTGGATCTGTGGTGAACATTTCCAGGGAATAAAGTAAAATGCTCGTCTGAAAATGAATCCTTTAATACCATGATTTTTTTATTATTGTTATTATTCAGGGACTGAACAGTACAGTGAATATACTGGCTATGCAGAAACCTACCAGTGGGCCAGGAGCCATGAAGATGACACGCCCAGGTAAAGTTCTGACCCTCCGAATGAACTTTAAATAGTAAGATTGATATTGACATAATATTTGGGGGGGGGGTTTCTTCAGAAATTCAGGCCATCGTTTCTTCCAAGCAGGAAACCTCAATCTTTCCTCTTGGATTTCATTTCATTCAATCCGTCAATTTCTATATCTTCCTTTTTCCGTCAATCACTCTGGGTGGCTTACCGTTGAAAAAAAATAAATATGTATATATTACTAATAATTAGAAATGTCTGTAAAAATGTGACTCCTGGGTATATTCATATCAGAAAATAAATAACTCAACGATCACCAGGAGAATCCAAACAGGGAAAAAATTTAATAAAACCAAGTTTTCATCCGAAACTTCCGACATCGTCAGGGTTATTATAGCCAGTTAACGGAAACGCCTTAAATCAGGTTAACTAACGTTTGCGTCCGGCTCCTAGGGACCGATGACGCGTTAGTAAACGTTAGTTAACCTTATTTAAGGCGTTTCCGTTAACTGGCTATAACCCTGACGATGTCGAAAGTTTCCGATGAAAGCTTGGTTTTATTAAATTTTTTCCCTATTTGGATTCTCCTGGTGATTGTTGAGTTATTTATTTTATGATATTACTAATAAAAATACTAAAAACATTTAAAAACAATAAAAATGCCCTGTATTTGTTAGAACTAAATATGCAAACGATGGACCAAGACTCCATAGCTCCACTTGAAAGGTACAGCTTCAGTGTAAAGCAAAGGGAAAAAGAATAATTTATCCTTTGATTTGGATGTATGACCTTCCCGTTAACGGTGATAATCTAGATAGCAAGGTATTTTGAATGGGGGAGGTTGACCATCCTTTGCAAACAATCAGATCCATGCTAGGCCTCGTTGGGAGTGTGGCAGATTTGACATTCCTGTCACAAAATCTACTCGGGGGACAAAACGTCTTGTCTTCTCCCCTCTCATCTGCCTTCTCCAATTTTAATACAGATTATTGGTAATCTAGTTGAACGTTGCCTTTTCCTAATGCTTGTTTCTGGGCTCTGAGGCTTCAGATAATCCCTTGAGAGATGAACTCAAGTGTGTCTTGTTTATATGTCTGATCTTATACCAGTTAGCATAACAACATCCTCTCTCTGTGTCTCTCTCTTCTCTCTCTCTTTCTCTCTCTGTATCTATCTCTATCTATCTATCTATCTATCTATCTATCTATCTATCTATCTATCTTTTTCTCTTCTCTCTCTCCCCCTCTCTCTCCTTCTCCTTCTCTCTCTCTCTCTCTCTCTCTCTCTCTCTCTCTCTCTCTCTCTATCTATCTATCTTCTTTTTCTCTTCTCTCTCTCCCCCTCTCTCTCCCTCTATATCTGTCTATCTATCTATCTGTCTGTCTATCTGTCTATCTATCTATCTATCTATCTATCTATCTATCTATCTATCTATCTATCTATCTATCTATCTTTTTCTCTTCTCTCTCTCCCCCTCTCTCTCCTTCTCTCTCTCTCTCTCTCTCTCTCTCTCTCTATCTTCTTTTTCTCTTCTCTCTCTCTCCCCCTCTCTCCCTCTATCTATCTATCTATCTATCTATCTATCTATCTATCTATCTTTCTTTTTCTCTTCTCTCTCTCCCCCTCTCCCCCTCTTTCTCTCTTTCCCCCTTTCTTTCTCCTCTCTCTCTCTCCCCTCTCTCTTCTCTCCCTCTGCCTTTTTTCCTCTCTCTTCTCTCTCTCCCCCTCTTTCTCCCTCTCTCCTCTCTCCCCTTTTGTCCCCCTCTCTCTCTTCTCCTCTTTCTACCCCCCCCTCTCTCTCCCCCTCTTTCTCCCCCCCTCTCTCCCCTCCCTCCCTCCCTCCCTCTCTCTCTTTTTCCCTCATTCTCTCTTCCCTTTGCCAGGGATGAATGGCAGAGACGCTGCACCGAAATTGTGGCCATAGACGCTTTTCATTTCCGATGTTTTCTCGATCAGTTCACTCCAGAGAAAATCAGAAGAGAGCTGAACAAGGCCAGTAACTTCTTAATCCCACTTGCTCTGTCGAGTTGTGTTTTGTTTTGGTTTTTAAATTTTTATTTTTGCAGCTGTGCCCTTAACGTTGGATTGACGCTGTGGCTTAAAAACAGCAAATCCAATAATAATAATAATAATAATAATAATAATAATAATAATAATAATAATAATAAGAAGAAGAAGAAGAAGAAGAAGAAGAAGAAGAAGAAGAAGAAGAAGAAGAAGAAGAAGAAGAAGAAGAAGAAGAAGAAGAAGAAGAAGAAGAAGAAGAAGAAGAAGAAGAAGAAGAAGAAGAAGAGAAACAACAGTGGACCCTTGGTAAGCTGTTGCAAGAAGATTGCACAGACTGATTACAAGCAGCGGCATGACAAAGTAGCAACAATGGTGCATTGGAAGATCTGCAAAAAATATCATTTGCCTGTAAGCAAAAACTGGTGGGATCATAAAATAGAGAAAGTCATAGAAAATGATAAAATTAAACTGCTCTGGGACTTCAGAATTCAAACAGACAAGCACCTGCAACATAACACCCCAGACTTAACAATTGTCGATAAGAAAGACAAAAAAGTCTGGATAGTGGACGTGGCAGTGCCTGGAGATAGCAGAATAGAAGAGAAAGAACTGGAGAAGATAACAAAATACAAAGACCTACAAATAGAAATAGAAAGACTGTGGCAAAAGCAAGCAAGGGTAGTACCAATAGTCATAGGCTCCTTGGGTGCAATCCCAAAACAACTGGAGCACCACTTGAACACCATTGGCATTGACAAATTCGCTATTAGTCAATTGCAAAAGGCGGCCTTATTAGGAACTGCTTCCATCCTGCGACGATATCTGTAATACCATCAAACATCCACATCTGCCTATCCCAGGTCCTGGGTAAGGACTCGATAGGTAGACAAAATGCCAAATCCAGTCTGAACATCTGGCTGACTGTGCGATGATCAATAATAATAATAATAATAATAATAATAATAGTAATAATAAAAGCAAAGTCTACCAACCCCATTATAAGCAACCTGAATAGCGACCCTCATCACAGGCATTTGAAAAACCAACACAGCAAGAGACTGTGAGCTTCTTCTCTGCCCGCAGGCCTACTGTGGCTTTTCTCGGCCTGGTGTCCCTCCACATCATCTTCCAGCGGTGGCAACAGGAAACTGGGGCTGTGGTGCTTTTGGAGGAGAATCAAGACTGAAAGGTAAACGTTACTCTCCTTGCAGTTAAATCTGGGGGTGGGGGCCTTTGGCTGTCGTGACCACTTGCTATTTCTATAGCTTTAGGCAAGAATGATGAAGAGCAAGAACGGGACAGGCGAAGGCTGAGATAAAGTTCTTCCTTCTGGGCTGCAGGACTTATAATAATAATAATAATAATAAAGTTGGAAGGGAAGTCATCTAGTCCAACCCTCCGCTCAGGCAGGAAACCTTACACCATTTCGGACCAATGGCTGTCCAGTCTCTTCTTAAAAACTTCCAGTGTTGGAGCATTTACCGCTTCTGGAGGCAGGTTGTTCCACTGGTTAATTGTTCTCACTGTCAGGAAGTTTCTCCTTAGTTCTAGGTTGCTTCTCTCCTTGGTTAGTTTCCATCCATTGCTTCTTGTCCTGCCTTCAGGGGCTTTGGAGAATACCTTGACTCCCTCTTCTTTGGGGCAGCACCTGAGATACTGGAAGACTGCTATCATGTCCCCCCTCGTCCTTCTCTTCATTAAACTAGACATACCCAATTCCAGCAGCTGTTCCTTATATGTTTTAGTCTCCAGTCCCCTGATCATCTTTGTTGCTCTTCTCTGTACTCTTTCTAGAGTCTCAACATCTTTTTTACATCGTGGTAACCAAAACTGGATGCCGTATTCCAAGTGTGGCCTTACCAAGGCATTGTAAAGTGGTATTAACTCTTCACGTGATCTTGATTCTATCTCTCTGTTAATGCAGCCTAGCACTGTGCTGGCCTTTTTGGCAGCTGCAGCACACTGCTGGCTCCTATTTAAGGGATCGTCCACTAGGTCTCCGAGGTCCCTCTCAAGACTGGATGGGAGGAAGGACTGAGGGAAAGCAACATCTGTCCATGCAAGAGGAAGGGGAGGTTGGGCCTAAGCTGTCTACCCTAGGTGGTCTGGACCTTCAGAGGCTCCAAGAGAGCTGAAGGCTCCGTTCCAGACTACTGTTGAATTCTGTTGTGAGCACTTTTTTATTCAGAAACGTGTGTCACCAAACAGAAGGTCCATCTGACCAAAACAGCAGCTGATTTGTCAAATGCATTTCTAAAAATCAAGACTGAACTGCTTATCCTTTCCAGGTTGCAATTTTTCTCCTGTTTGTGCCTCTTAGTCCATGTAAATGTCGAGGGCGGGAAAATCAGGAGTCCATCCAGGCAGTTCAAATGAATTGTTGTTGTTAGTTGCGAAGTCGTGTCCAACTCATCACGACCCCATGGACAATGTTCCTCCAGACCTTCCTGTCCTCTACCACCTTCTGGAGTCCATTGAAGCTCACGCCTACTGCTTCAATGACTCCATCCAGCCACCTCATTCTCTGTTGTCCCCTTCTTCTCTTGCCCTCCATCTTTCCCAGCATCAGGCTCTTCTCCAGTGAGTCCTTCCTTCTCATTAGGTGGCCAAAGGACTTGAGTTTCAACTTCAGGATCTGGCCTTCTAGAGAGCAGTCAGGGTTGATCTCCTCTAGGACTGACCGGTTTGATCGCCTTGCAGTCCAGGGGACTCGCAGGAGTCTTCTCCAGCACCATAGTTCAAAGGCCTCAATTCTTTGGTGCTCAGCTTTGGTCCAACTTTCACAGCCATATATTGCAATTGGGAAAACCATGGCCTTGACTATACGTACTTTTGTTGGCAGGATGATGTCTCTGCTTTTTAGGATGCTGTCTAGATTTGCCATAGGAAAGCTATCTTGGAGCCCAGGAAGATAAAATCTATCACTACCTCCATTTCTTCCCCATCTATTTGCCAGGAATTGAGAGGGCCCGATGCCATGATCGTGGTTTTCTTAATGTTGAGTTCAAATGAATATAAAGGTTTATTGCAAGCGTAACCTCTCTACAAGAATCTGAGCTACTAATGGCCCAAGCAAATTGGTGGTAAATAAGAATCAAAGGGAATTCAAGTGCGGGCCGATCTTAGCTCGCTTGCGAGCACAAAAGGAATCGAGACTGATCACGTGTTTGACACCTCATCTCCCCTCGGACTCAGCAGGGTCACCTACAGTACATTAATTTCATTTTTCAGTTCTCTGGTATTCAGCCCTCATTATGCTATCTCCAGTAGAGGAAGTGAATTGCTTCTTTCTTAGCAGTGGGTCACCTTCCACTCAACACCATGGCTGCTTTTTTTTTTTTTTTTAAATGCCATGTCGTTTTGATGAAGGGTTTTTCATGAAAACTTGAGTTGCTGAAGCTGTAGCAAATTCACAGCGTTTCTCGGAGCTTGATTGAAACCGATAGAAGAGAATGGATTAAAACCACCATTCTTGCTGGAAATTTGATCTTGTGGGCCACCACGGTTTCCGTTGGCGGGCTCTCCGGAGCCCTTTCATTAAAGACTGCCGAGGTAATGACTTAAAAGCTAACCAGCTGATGTAATGTAAGATGTAATGATGGGAATGACGCAGCAGGGTCTGTGTCTCTTTAAGAGGCAGTAGGGTCTGTGTCTCTTTAAGAGCCAGCAGGGTCTGTATCTCTTTAAGAGCTTTGTATAAAAGGGATGGCTCCGCAGGTGCGTGCTCTCTCTTCTGTTTTCCTACTGTAACTGCTGTGGGTTGGAGCCTGCTGTGTCAACACGTCTATGTATATTGTTGCTGGTGTATGATATTGTAGATAGTGTAAGATAAACCACCATGTAATACAGACCACTGCTTACTGTGTTTACTCCTGGGTTATCTTCGCGCAACAAGACTGTGCATGCTCTGGCAAAGACTGCGATATTTTCTTGTGTTTACAGATAGTCCTTGACTCACTACCACTGTTGAGCCCCGAATTTATGCTGCTAAGTGAAACATTTAAATGTTCAGTGAGGTTTTGCCCCGTTTTATGACCTTGTTAAGTGAATCACGTAACCCAACTGTGACATGAAGCTGGCTCCCCACATTGACTTTGTCAGAAGGTCCCGTGATGCCAGGACGCTGCGACCGTTGTAAATATGAACCAGTTGCCAAGCGTCCGAATTTTGATCCCGTGACCGTGGGGATGCCGCCACGGCCGTAAGTGTGAAAAACGGTCATCGGTCGCTTTTTCCATTGCCATCGTAATTTTGAACGGTCACTAAAGGAACTCTTGTAAGTCGAGGACTGCCTGGTATCCGTGGAAGCAGTGTCTTTCCAAGCACTTTTTAATGCAGTTTGAGGTTAAAATCTATCATCTTGAGCAAATAAATGGGCAAAGACATTAAGGTTGACCTGCAGAAACACCAGCTATTTTATAGGGAGATCTCTAAAAGCAGATAAGGTAAGCATCCGTTTTTCTGACCCTTTGCTTGCCTTGTCTTGACCGCCTAGCTCAGGGGTGGGAAACCTTGGCTCTTTTATGACAGGTGGACTTCAGCTCCCAGAATTCCTGAGCCAGCATGACTCAGCTTGGAAACCTCTCCCTTTCCCCTCAGCATGGCTGGCTCAGGAGTAAGTCTTCATCCTGGTTCATCCAAGCCAGGATAGATAAGCAACATGGCGACTGCTTTGGGAAGAAGGTTACAGTTTATTGAAGAAGCAGAAGGATGGTCCTTGCAAGGAGCAGAGAGGAAAGAGAGAGGTTGAGCACATGGGCAGTAGGTTTTATACCCCCTCTAGCCTTGTTTGGAATAGTTTCCTGTTCCTGTGGCATGAACCTTGAGGCTGTTTCTGAGTGTTTTTCTAGGCCTTGATATCTGTGGTTTTATCCTATTATCATATCCTGCTTCCCAGGTGATGGGGCTAATGACTCCTAGAGTTTGGGTGGGGCATGCAGATCTTCTCTTTGTCTTCTTCATTGCTCTGGCTTCAACTCTCTGATAGTTTTACATCTGCATTTGTATGGGGCTATCTCTTGCTTGGGGCAGAGAGATAGATTTGGGGTCAGGTTTGGTTTTAAAAAAAAAATCCTTTAGAGGAAAAATATATTTTTCTGCCCTTTTAATATTTCCTTCTCTGGGCTAACTTCCTTCAGCTGGCTCAGGAATTCTGGGAGTTGAAGTCCACCAGTCATAAAAGAGCCAAGCTTGCCTACCCCTGCCCTAGTTAAAAGATAAGCAGCACACGCCTTCCATGTTGTTGAATTACAGTTTCGATCTTCCCAGGACAAACTCACGTTGTCCACCCCTTCAGGTAGATAACATCTCCTGAACATAGTGGCTGTCTCTCATGAGAAGCACCTCAGCGCAGGTCGCTGAAGCCTCACTTCAGTTGTCCTCCTCCTCCTCCTCCTCCTCCTCCATTGATCACTGGTTCTTCTCTTCCTTTGCTTTAGCCTTAATACAGATCTTGGCAGCTGCTGAGGCTGGACGCGACGTGGTTTATTTCACTTTTGGAGATGCGGAGTTGATGAGAGACATTTACAGCATGCACACCTTTCTGACCAAGAGGGGCCAAGTGGTGGGTACGTATCATCTCCATTCTTTCCCTTTGGAAGCACCGTCGACGATACGGAAGGGAGGGGCAGTGCTTACTAGGAGAGGTCAAGGAAAACATCTTGGTGAATTTTTTTTAAAAAAAAAAACAAACCCCCCCCCCCTTGAATTTGGTATTGAGAAGTCAAATTTGGGCGAAGCTCGACTCAGCCGTGCTAACGTGCTTTCCGTAAGAATAGATGCTGAAGACCATGGATCTTATACATCATAATGTATCAAAAAAAGATGTTGAGACTCTAGAAAGAGTACAAAGAAGAGCAACAAGATGATTAGGGGACTGGAGGCTAAAACATATAAAGAATGGTTGCTGGAATTGGGAATGTCTAGTTTAACGAAGAGCAGGACAAGGGGGGACAGGATAGCAGTCTTCCAATATCTCAGGGGCTGCCCCAAAGAAGAGGGAGTCAAGCTATTCTCCAAAGCTCCTGAAGGCAGGACAAGAAGCTAATGGAAACTCATCAAGGAGAGAAGCAGCCTAGAACTAAGGAGAAACTTCCTGACAGTTAGAACGATTAACCAGTGGAACAACCTGCCTCCAGAAGCGGTGAATGCTCCAACACTGGAGGTTTTTAAGAAGAGACTGGATAGCCATTTGTCCGAAATGGTATAGGGTTACCTGCCTGAGCAGGGGATTGGACTTGATGACCTCCAAAGTCCCTTCCAACTTTATTATTATTATTATAACCACAGGCTCAAACCTTTTCAAAAAAGGTTGAGTCGTTGTCTCCAACCCCTTTAGAAATGTCTCTCCAGTTGTAATATTTACTGGAGAGTTGTGTTTTGATCCGTGCGAATAGGTGGTGTTTAATGTGCTTTTAATCTGGGCGTTGGATCTGTGGTAGTCAGCCCAGAATCTTCTTTGAGTTGGGCAGATTTTTCTTGGTTGGTTGGTTGGTTTTACTTATATCCTGCTTTGAATATGTTTTACAAATAACTCAAGGCTGCGAACATATCCAACACCTTTTCCTCTTCTTACTATCCCTGTCAGGTGGGCTGGGCTGAGAGAGATTAATTGGCCCCAAAGTCATCTAGCTGGCTTTCAGGGTTAAGGCAGGACTAGAACTCACGGTGTCTTACTTTCTAGCCTTAAGTACTAGGCCAGGGGCAGGCCATCTTGGCTCTTTTAGAACTCATGGACTTCAACTCCCAGAATTCCTGAGCCAGCCATGCTGAGGGGAAAGGGGGAGGTTTCCAAGCTGAGCCAGGCTGGCTCAGGAATTCTGGGAGTTGAAGTCCACGAGTCATAAAAGACCCAAGTTTGAAGACCCCTGGTTTAAATATTTAAATATTTTTTCCTCATGGTCATGCGATCAAAATTCAGGCATTTGGGCAGGAGTAGGCCGCCTGGGCTCTTTTAGGACTGGTGAACTTCAACTCCCAGAATTCCTGAGCCAACTCCCCGAATTCCTGAGCCAGCCACGCTGAAGGGAAAGGGAGAGGTTTCCAAGCTCAGGAATTCTGGGAGTTGAAGTCCACGGATCCTAAAAGAGCCAAGGTTGCGTACTTCTGGTCTAGACCAAGCTGGCTCTCCATGAACCAAAGCGGTGAAGTGAATCAACTGGGGTTGAGCCCCTTGACCACTGCGGCAAGCAAGGTTGTAAAATGTGGCTGCAAAATTCACTTCATAACAGAAATTTGGGGTCACATTTGTGGCCGTAAGCCAAGGACTTGCCTGTATATCACTTTTTGTTTCTTCCTCTCTGTCCTTCTTCCCGTTTTCCAGGAGACGTTTACAAGCTGTTGCTTCGATACTACCATGAGGAATGCCGGTGTTGTTCCACTTCGAGGCCAGAAGTCAAACTCTACCCCTTTGTCTACAGCGTCGTTGAGTCCTACATAAACCCTCCCGAGGATGAGAAAGGACTGGGTTTTGAGGACTAGAACCATCGCCCGCCCAACGATTGCGCTTTTTCCCTTTTTTCCGATGAAATATCAATTGAATTGCTGGAGGTTATATATATAGATGGTCTGAAGGCCAACGCTGATATTTGAGAAGCAGCCTTTTTTTTTCTTTCCAAAGCAGAAAGTAAACTTGATCACAACGCATAGAGCTTCATTCCTTTCTCCTCCGTGGTCAAGACATGGTGATGGGCAGAAGACTTACATTCCTTATAGGAGTCTCTGAAAATACATTGATAACATGCCTGCCTTTTTATTTTTATAATTATCTCAGTGTCGACATGCATTCATTGGAGGGGTACACTGGCATAGACACGTTTGCCATACGAATAAGTGATTTCTTTAGCTCACACTGCAGCAGTATAACTTTTAAGGGGTAGGTGTGGCGGGAAACACCCCACCCCCCCCCAAAAAAATTATATGTATATGCATTACATACATAATTCAAGTCATCCTGATTTTTTTTTAAAAAAAAAAATAGATTTTTTTTTTCCAAACACTCTTTTTTCTGGGTTAACAAAAGTTCTGAAATAGGTGAGGATAAGAGAAAAACAGTGAGTTATCCCAGAATTATCCTCTGAACGAAAAACAGCTGGACGAGGACAGTGGCGTATTGGGGATTGCAGACCGGCAAGATTGGATTTAGAAATGGTCAAGAGACTTTTTGATATAGTCTTACATTTTAAAAACCCATAGCTAGGGCCATATCTTTATGATACAATTAAAACAGCTTTTTTTTTCTTTAAATCAATTGCACAGAAGTTCTCAGCTGGGATTTTGCGATCCCGCCGAGAGGCAAATAGAGAAATATATATTATTTAAATGTACGATTAAAAAAAAAAACCTAGACTGTTACACTTAGGGCATTCATTATATAATTCTGACAGCTCTGTACAGCATGCCCCGGGTGCGGCTTGGAAGGTCATTAAAAGTGATTGACTTATCGATTAAGGAGCAGGTTTGAGGATGTGCGTGTTCTTTCCGTAGCCTTTCCAGTGAGCTCTTAAGAAAAAGTTACCTCTGGGTGGGGGGGAGAGAAAGGAAAGGAAAATGGCAAGATACTAGGTGCTCACTGTGAATTTGGCAAGGGAGGAAAACAGGTGTCATGGTTCCGACAGATGAAACTCTTCAGAGAACTTCGAGGCGTTGTTTACCTTAAAGCAATGGTTCTCAACCTGTGGGTCGGGACCCCATTTGGGGTCGAACGACCATTTCACGGGGGTCGCCAAACAACGCAGTCCGCCATTTTTTTCCCCCTTTTCCTTAGCTGTGCTACTTCCTTTTATTCTATTGGCTTTTGAAAGCCAACAGAATAGACTCTCTTGAATAGAGTCCAATTCTATTGGCTTTCAAAAGCCAATAGGAATTGTCCAGGCTGTCTCTGCCCTGCTGAGCCCGCCAAAAGTCCCATTCTGCAAACGGTGCTGCACCAGTTGAGTAGTCCTCGACTTACGATCGGTTGAGTAGTCCTCGACTTACGACCGGTTGGGGGTCGCGGCATTAAAAAGGTTGAGAACCACTGCCTTAAAGAATCTTTATTTGAGAAGCATAGCATCGGCACTAACACGGTCGAAGCCAAAACTTGGATTCCCCTCCCCTCGGCACATCGTATCAGTTTTGGATGTCAGTTTTGGATGTATTCTGATCGAAGTGGACATTCCTAGAATTGTATGTTATAAGTTTAAGGAACGTACATCGAGCTTATTTAATAATTTTTGGTAGAACTTTTACAAAATGATATGCGGAAGAAACAACCTTGAGGCTAAAAAAAAACCACACACACACACACACACACACACACACACACACAAAGGGCCTGTGTGTCTTTCACGTTGCTCAGTTTAATTGGACGCCAACTTTTTGTCTTCATTTTTCAACCTCAAAGACAGGTTGAAACGTGTTTCCCCACCCCACTGCTAACTCCACCAACAGCAGGGAATTGGAATCTTTCCGTTTTGTTTCTGACCTTTTTAAATCTCTCCCACTTCCCAAGGGAAAAAATATCATTGTTTAAAAACAAAAAGGCCTGGAGTTAAATAAGAGAGAGACTTCATCGGGAGATTTTTTTTTTTTTTTTTAATTATTGAACGAAGCATCTGTTCTTTAAAAAAGAGCGACTCTCCTGGGAAAGGCTTAGAGCAAAGAATTGCTGGTGAGAATTGCTAAGTTGATACCACCACCAACCCCATTTTGTGAACATTGCATTTTACTTTTTTGAAAACCCACATGGGGAACATTTTCCAACCAAAGGCTGGATTTTAATCCGGGAATTCAAACAGGGACACAAGAGTGCCTTTTTCCAATTGCACCTTCTGCTGTGAAAATGATCCATCTAGAAGACGGTAACAATTAGTCAGTTTTAGCTAATTTCAAAAAAAAAAAAAAGCTAAGTAGAGCCGGACCAGGCTGATACTTGGATCAGGCATCAGGAAATCCTCGTAGTTTAAACCAGAAGATGGAAATGACTTTTCATTTACCGTGCTTTTAAATGATCAAAATTATCAAATCGTTTTTAAAGTACAATTTCTTTCAAAAAAAAGGGCGTTTTTAAAAATATCATTCGTACATTGTTAATTTTTAATGCAATTAGTAGAGCGTGCGTTTCTCCCTTGATTTCTGATGTGCCTTTAAAAAAAAAAGTGATCCTCATTATCATCATCCCAAAATTAGAGAGCAGAAAACTAATAAAGAAGTCAGGAGAAAAACCAGCATTTTGAAAGATTGATTGATTGATATAATAATAATAATAATAATAATAATAAAGTTGGAAGGAGTCTTGGAGGTCATCTAGTCCTGCTCAGGCAGGAAACCCTATACCGTTTCGGACCAATGGCTGTCCAGTCTCTTCTTAAAAACTTCCAGTGTTGGAGCATTCACCGCTTCTGGAGGCAGGTTGTTCCACTGGTTAATTGTTTTCACTGTCAGGAAGCTTCTCCTTAGTTCTAGGTTGCTTCTCTCCTTGATTAGTTTCCATCCGCTGCTTCTTGTCCTGCCTTCAGGCGATTGATTGTATGGCATCTACAGAGGTCATGTTATCATTGATATATAACACTAATAATTTTTGAGAGTTTACCAGAGATCAACAATACACCAAAACACAGCAGGAACAATTAGAGGCAGGCGGTGTGAGTTTCAAAAAAACATGTCCCTGCATGTGTCTTCACCTCGGACACCATTTCTAAGAATAATAAAAACAAAAGACAGACAACAAACAAATCTTTCAATACAACTATTGACAGATCGCATTGTCTAAACCGTTAATATTACAGTTCTGACACGTGCATCATGATGGACGTATACGTAATGCATGCAAAATACGTTCACCCTGGAAGAGCAAGAACGAACAGTGCATGGAGGAAGTTACATCCTGAATAAAACACCTTGAAGAAGTCAGTTCAAAATGCATTTCTATTATTGTCAAGAAAACCACATGTAGTGTTCATGCACGAACTGAACGCTAGGAAATTTTGAGTTTGAATTTCCCCAAAGTTTTCCCCCTTGTTTCTCTGGTCAAGGAAGACTCATTCAGACATTTGCAAAAAAAATAAAATACTTTAAATCCACTGATGCAAACTGGAAGATTGACCCAGAGTTACTCTTTCGCTTAACCTACATGGGCAATTGACTCATACTTTTTCATAACATAATTGCAGGTATTGGGGACCCCAGATAGATTAACAATGTTGGAAGGGATCTTGGGGGGTCTTCTAGTCCCAATCCTTTGCTCAGGCAGGAAACTCTGTACCATTTCAGACAATCAAATCTCTTCTCAACCCCCCCCCCCCAGTGACGGAACATACACAACTTTTGAAGGCAAGCCCTTCCACTGATTAATTGTTCTGTCTGGAAATTTCTCCTTAACTTCTAGGCGGCTTCTCTCCTTGATTAGGGACCTTGTTTTTTTTTTTGTCCTGCCTTCAGGTGCTTTGGAGAATAAGTTGGCCCTCTCTTCAGATAGCTCTCTTGAGCTTCAAAAGCAACGGAGGCATTGACCGACAGAATCGTTGAACCCAGGGCAAAGGATTCTTCATTTCTTGTAGACATTTCCCAAAACCTGGCTATTGATAGTCAACCGTTTTGTTTTTTTTTAACTCAGACATCTTGTTTCTTGGGAATGAGAGTGTTAATCTAAAAACAAGAGCAACAAAAGGCCACGGAAGACTTAAATCTCTACCATCCAGTTGGTTTCCAACTTCCGCCTTTTGGAAATGCCGCTGTGGTCTCTATTGAATTTTAAAAAATGGCTTTTCTGGGAATGAAATGGGCTAAGAATAATGAGCGTCAGGAAAGAGTTAAAGTATCCCTCTGACTGCCTATCTTTTCCAAACACGCTTAACGTTTTTTTTTTTAAAACAAATTGGCACAATTTATAAAATGTAAAATATCAGCGGCTGTAGTTTTCTGACATCCCCGCCACTGAACAAGCTTCATATTTATGGTCCTGTTATGTTTGTAGCTGATCCCTCGTGCATTTATCATTGCTTAAGTGAAGGCAGCCTAAGAGCTGTGTATGAACCTTCTCTTTCCTGATACCCCCATTACAGCCTTCCCATCCATTTCTACACAACCTGTCAGCTTGTTTTTGCAGACTTCCTGCAATTCAGAATGGAGCGACACACCGACGGCGGTTAAAAGAGATCTAGCGTGTTCATTTATGTATCAGTGGCCTCACCTATCCTGGACAGACCCTCCATTGTATTAGCACAAGTTAGCAATATGTGAAAGTTGGACCATAAGAAAGGCTGAGCGCCAAAGAATTCAGGCCTTTGAACTATAGTGCTGGAGAAGACTCCTGCGAGTCCCCTGGACTGCAAGGTGATCAAACCGGTCAGTCCTAGAGGAGATCAACCCCGACTGCTCTTTAGAAGGCCAGATCCTGAAGCTGAAACTCAAGTACTTTGGCCACCTAATGAGAAGGAAGGACTCCCTGGAGAAGAGCCTGATGCTGGGAAAGATGGAGGGCAAGAGAAGAAGGGGACGACAGAGAATGAGGTGGCTGGATGGAGTCACTGAAGCAGGAGGGGTGAGCTTAAATGAACTCCAGAAGATGGTAGAGGACAGGAAGGCCTGGAGGAACCTTGTCCATGGGGTCGTGATGGGTCGGACACGACTTCGCAACTAACAACAAAAGCAATATGTTTTCTCAGTACCAATGAGTTAGCAGTTTAAGCTTTACAGCTTAGGTTTAAAACTTGACACAGTGCTCATTCCAGAAGTTCATACCAAATGCATCTGGAATGTTTGCGTGTTATGGAGACTTACAGTGAGGTGAAGATTTCAAGGCGATCTTTGTGAATCTCCTACAAAATTCAAGATGCTTCTCATATTAAACTGGTAAGTTGCTATTTTGAAAGCGCACAGAGATGAAACAGGAAAATGTTAGTGTTTGGAGGTGACGCTGGGCAGCACTACAATATTTGTATAAGGCTTCAGGTTCGTCCTCGGATGTTCATTGAAAAAGGCCCCAGGTTCAAATCCTCATTGACCCAAGCTCAATGCTACTACTTCTGAAGACCACGTATATTACAATAATAAAATATTTTTAAAAACTTTTGAAATCTCTTTCTGGATATTTTATAGTAATGTGGCCATTATGCAAGCTTCCAACACTCTATGTCAGGGGTATCAAACTCGCAACAAACTCATGTGATGTGTCGTGACGTATTGCGACTTTTCCCCCATTTCCTTCCTTCCTTCCTTCCTTCCTTCCTTCCTTCCTTCCTTCCTTCCTTCCTTCCTTCCTTCCTTCCTTCCTTCCTTCGTCAGTGAGGAATTTCTGGCCAATTACAAAAAGTCTCAGCTGTGAAAACCAAAGTATAAAATGAAATATAGTCCATCTCTATTTCTGTCCAATCTACGAAACTGAAGTTAATTAGCTTTGACCCTAAATGCAGTTGGTAGAGCTTGGACGTTAAGCCAGGAGCTCACAATTAAATAAGTAAAATTACTGT